CATTGTAGTCTGCTCTCAGTTCATCCGAGTAATAACAAGATGTACCAAGAGCTCTAACTGTTGTATTGACGGTCGGGCATTAAGAGGGAAGTGTCTGAGTTTGTTACCATATGTTTAGTATGTCATCAAGTCCAAGTAATACACCAAGTTCCTTCAGGGTTGCTCCATATGATTCAAATACCACAGCGGAAGTAGGATAGAGTGACTATGGACTTCATGAAAGGATTATCGATGACTAAGTTGAGACACGATACAATGTGTGTTATAGTTTGATAAGAGAAACTGAAGAGAACGTCAGTTGATTCAGATCTAATTGAAGGAATCTTCTGAAGAGGTCATACGGAAACTTGAAACATAAGGATGTCGATTTTGCAGTGGGAGACAGAGTTCTTCAAGGTGTCTCCATGGAAGAAGATACTTCAGTTTGGACGCAAATAAAAGTTAACCCTGCACTTCATAGGGCCGTATGAGTTACTCGAGAGGGTTGGATCCATAGCTTACTGATTAGCCTTACCCCAAGAGTTGGAGTACATTCAAACATTTTTCCACGTATCCATGCTCAGGAAATACCATTTCGACCCCTCCCATGTTATACCATTACAACAGATTGAAGTGAGCCAATACCTGACTTATGAGGAATAACCAATAAAGCTGTTTGAAATAGACATGAAAGAGTTAAGGAATAAGATCATTCCCTTAGGAAATATTTTGTAGAGGAATCACAGAGTTGAGGAATCTATTTGGGAAACCGATGACGATATGCAACTTCAGTAATCACATCTTTTCTATCTAGTTAATTTTCGAGGAAGAAATTTATTATTAGAAGGAGAGAGTTGTAACGCCCCAAATCCCGAGTTAGAAGTTTTGGGTTAACCTGAGATGGTTAGGCGAGCCCATTTACCTTGTTAGAGAACTTGGTCCATTTGGTTGTTGGGTTAGGCTTGGTTTTGAGGGCCATTGGATATTAAAAAGGGTATTTTTAACCTTAGGATAAAAAAGGGATGATTAAAAAAGATAGTATACTAATTTTTGAAACAAAAGCTAAAATCCCTTAATTATTGATGATCTCACATATGTTTTCTTCTTTTTTTCCCCTCACGCCTTAGTATGTCTTCTACTCTTCTTCTCTATTTGCCTTCTTCTTCACCAAGCCTTAGTAAAGATCAAAACTTTGTAGTTTGCAAACTTTGTTCGAGATTTCCAAGGTAAGTTTTGAAATGTACTCACCCCAAGCTTCCATTCAAGCCTTTAAACTCAAGTTTTAGCTATAGTTCCAAAAATGGGTTTTGGAGAGGGGGTTTAAGAAACCAATATTTTCTAGCTCGTTTTTGTGGATTTAAGTTTTAGGTAGTGTCCTTAACTTCAATCCAATCTTCTAGATGAGTTAGTAACTCATTTACCTTGTATTTGATTAATGAAATAGTTGGGAGAAAGCTCCCAAGTTAAAGGGAATGAGAAATTAACCCTTGGTTGATTTGAGAGTGTTTTCAACAGCTAAGAAACTAAGGTAACATATTCACAACTTCTTCGTACCATTTGTGAGTCATTATAATGTATTTAGCTATTGAGTATTGAGTTTATGAAGCATGAATGATCATCCATGGTATATTCAAACATTTGGTGTTTTTAACATGTTTAAAAACCTATTATGACATCTTCTTTCATACACAAGATTTTAAGAATGTTTGAGAACCTTAGTAGGGAACTTGGGATAGATTATAGAGTCATTTTTGTGCCCAAATAGAGCATTTTTGTGTTTGGGTATTGTGTTAAAAGAACAGTAGCGATGTTGTTCAACAGATGGTTCTAACAAAGAAGATTTAGGCTAGAAGTATTGATGCGCATCCGCTGAGTATCAATACTATGGGTTAGGTATTGATACTCTCAGGAGGCGTATCGATACCGAGTTTACTTCATGCATTCTAGTATCCTATTTTAGTATTGATACTCATAAGTGTATCAAATACTGATGTTAGAGTATCAATACTCCCAATAAGAGTATCGATACTGAGGTATTTTTCAAAGCATCAAAGCAAAATTTGGTATTAATACCCCGAATAGTATTGATACCCTATCTCAGGAGTATCAATATTGGTCCAGGAGTATCAATACTACCCTTCTTTCTCAACTCATACTCATAGTGTAAGTATCGATACCCAAGGGTGAGTATAGATACTCAAGGGTCAGTATCGATACTATGGGGCTTAGTATTAATACCGTCGTAGATTATTGGGAAAGAAACCCAAGGGATTTAGAAATAATATTGAGGGATCCAATGACACTCAAACACCATCAAATAAAATTACAAGTGACAACTTCGTTAATATGCGATCACAGCTAGAAACAATATCAACTAAGACCACATAAAACTAGCCTTGCTCAGGAAACTATCAGGACACCTAAGTTACTTTAGCAGATGACTATAGTTTCGAGGAATAGAATATTCGGATATACTTATGTAACTGCGCGAGGTACTTTGTGACTAACTAGGGCACGAAGATCAAACACTCGCGAGGAGTGAATTAGTCGGGTGTTGTGTCCGATTCAAAAATTTCGGATCTCACCCTACGTGGACTAAATTTGATGCCAAAGCATTATTGAGAAAATAGCCACCCTCCACTAACTTTATAACAAGATTTGATGCCAAAACATTATTGAGAAAACAACCACCAAAAATACCCTACGACTTCACGTTCCCAAAATATTTTTAAACCTTATGACGATGCTTGTAACATTATAGGGTAGAGCATATCTCCCACACAATTCTTTAAATCAGTACCGCCCCTGTGGTAACCACTTCCACAAATAGCCATAAAGCCTTTAATGAATTTTGCACCAAAACATTTATACAAACATTAAATAAAGTCTAACTGTCGAAGTAGCCTCCCATAACAAATCCTCATACGAGCACCTTGGTCCAAAGCAATTACATAGCCACACATCACAAAAATAATATTCGAGCTCTCTGATCCACCTCCTCATCATGGGCACCCACATCGCAATGAAAAATATTAATTCTTTCAAACACTAAATGTTAAAACTCGATTAAATATGAACCCAAAACAAACCGATCCTCAACAAGAGAGAGTTATTCTTTTTCCCTACATGGTCTGTTAAAAAAAACTCAACACAATTGTCATTGAATGTGAAGCATAACCATCGACAACCACTTAGCAATCTTTATTGAGATTGGTTTCAATTTAGATTACTAGATAATAGAATTGAAATAACACTATTAAAATGAAAGTAATTGTTTTGTTAAATATTAAATGGAATTGAGTTAGTTCATCCTCGTAGGATTAAATAAACTCATCTCTGAAACGAGTGTAGTGTAGATCTGTCTACCATCTTTTGTTTGTTTATCTTTTTTTTACTTAGTAATGTATGATTTTTATTTAAGGAAAATAATTAAAAAAAACAATATTATTTTAGACCTTATTAAAAAAAACCTCTTAAATAGAATGAAAAATAACGCATAATGATAATTAAAAATACAAAAAAGATACCTGCGTATAATGAATATCGCATAATTTTTTTTATCATTACTCTTCATTAAGTCATCAGATTATTATTATTATGATCATATGATGATAATGACCTGCCAAGTCATTTTATATTTGGTCTTTTTTTTACATTTGTTTCTCTAGAAAGCTTTAGGTAAACAAACAATATGTCATTCAGCCTTAGAGGCAAAATAAAAAAAGGTTCTATTTGTTATTATTTAAAAATATATAGTTAAGTCTTTCTCTCTCTTTTGAAAAGTATATATTTAAATAAATTTATGTTTCAGATAATATAACCTCTAACTCATTTAAAGGGACAAAAAAGAATTTAGAATAAAAACGGTTAATATATTCATTTACAGAAGAAATTAACGAGTAAGATGCATATATATCATTCTATTCCATGTACATTATTGTTGTAGTAAATAAGATATTTGCTAATAAGTCATTCAACTCGATTTTAAAAGATAGATTTAACTAAATAATTTTTTGGTAAAATTTAAACTAATAGAGAGTCTAGTTCGATAAAATTATTTATGAAATTGAGGTGCTTAAAAGATAATATATGTTTAAAATCTTTCTTAGTTATTAACAATGAACCTATCCTGCAAAACAACTGTCCAAATTCAAAAATTTTAAGAAAAATATCTCTTAATTTCTTTTACCGCTGAAAACCAGGGGTGGACTAGGGGTTAGTGGGAGCAGTTGTCCTTTTAAAAATTTAAAATTATCATATATTTTTAATTTTTTCTTTGTATTTTTATTATATATTTTAAATTTTTCTTTGTATTTTTTTATTAAAAATATGTTTTCGTCACTTAAAATTGTATAAGCTTAAGTATGTCCTTTAAAAATTTAAATTCGTTCCCTTAATATAAAATCATTCATCTATCCATCCATGATCGAAACCGTCCAATTAGTTTATCTTTAACATAGCATAAAGCTTTAAGTTTTGAACCAAGCTCAAACATGATTTTTTTCATTGTTTGAACTTGGTGACAAACTGCCAGGGACAATACATTGCACGTCGACGAAGAAGGTAGGAACACAAAGACTTGAAAAAAAAAATGAACTAATTTCAGAAGTATTTTTAAATACATGTGAGTGGATAAGAAGACACTGCAGAGAAGGTCATTGGAGGATTCATTTTAGCATGGTAGAAACTTCCCTCTCCTTCAATAATTTATATAATTTCTTTTACCATTATGTCATATAATATAATATCTGCATCTTCTTTGTCATTTCATGTGATCACACTTCTCAGAATATCCTCCAGGACCTTAATAGATATATACATTTTACTAGTAGCATTAATTTTAAAACCTGCAAGTCTATTATCGCTAATCTGAACACTTTTTATTTTTTTATTCAGGTCTATGGGTATAAAATGAAGGCCTACTTGCATTGTGTTTAATCTGTAACCTTCCAGATCTAGATAACTGCGACAGGGTATTTGATCTTGAAGACAGAAGATTAATATAATAGAAAGAAAGGAAGATGGTGAGAGCTCCCTTCTATGATAAAAATGGGTTAAAGAAAGGTGAATGGAGTCCCGAAGAAGATCATAAACTAAGAGCATTTGTCGAGATATATGGCCAAAGGAACTGGCGTCAACTTCCTAAAGCTGCTGGTATACTTTCATTCTTTTATGGAAAGAAACTGTTTCTGTTTCTGGAAATTGTTAACTGATTCATAAACAATCTCTTGGTCATGTTCATGGAGTGATCTTCTTTTTTGGTTGCTTGTTTAGGTCTTAAAAGGTGCGGAAAGAGTTGTAGGTTAAGATGGATGAATTACCTACGGCCTGAAGTAAAACACGGGAACTTCACTGAAGAAGAAGATGTACTGATCATCAAATTACATAAACAATTTGGAAACAGTTGGTCCGCCATGGCTAAATGTTTACCTGGAAGAACGGACAACGAAATAAAAAATCACTGGCACTCCGATCTAAAGAAGTGTGGAAAGCGAAATCCGATGACAGCTGATCATGTCAAAGACGACTCTAGTTGTCCAAATGAAGCCCCCCAGAATTCTGAAGGTCAAAGTGGAGCTGATAGCATCCTTGTTGTTACTCCGGCCAACATGATCTTGGAGAGTTCAACTTTGTCTCCAGCAACATCTTCAACTACCGAGTTGTCCTCCTTTGTTAAAGATACTTATCTTCCTCTGTGGAATAATCCCTTTGTTGCAGACAATATCTTCAACCAGGATGGTTATCCATCATCCATGGAAAATTATGGATTTGAGCTGCCATTGCCTTTTGACGACATGTATTATGATGATTGGGCATACTTTCTCTATGACTTGATGCAAGTATAAGGCATAAAATTGATTTTCATTTTAATAAATAATATATTTGCTGTGCTATAAAAAATCTAGATGCTTTAATTAATAGAGGTATTACAATGTCATCTCGTTGATTTAGTTAACTAAGGGATTAGAATTTCATCTCAATATTCTTGTTAGTGGACGGATTACAATATTATCTCGAAGCTGTGGTTAGTAGATATCATCTCAAAGTGGTTGCGGAGGAAGACAAATAGGGTAGATGAATTCAACCCATTTATAGAGTTAGCAGAGATAAATGGCAGAGGGGATTGGTGGGGAGGAAATTTTTGAGAGATCTCTTGGAGAGTGAAGAAGCAATTTTGCAAGGAATTAAAGTTCAAATCAATTCAGAACGGATCAAATCATATGATATGGGACTGCAGGAACTTTTTTTATGGGAAGAAGATTCAGCGTTTAACTTTCATAATATTTGGGGGCCTAAAGATGTCACCAAAGGTTAAAAGCTTCATATGAATGTTTGAAATTAAACAGGTGCCTACCAAAGATTTCCTTAGAAATATTGGGGTGATTTTGATGGAAACTCAAGTCAATTGCCCTTGGTGTGGATCGGATGTTGAAAGCGCTAATCACTTTTCTGGGCCTGGGAGGAGGGCTCAGAATTTTTATAACATACTATTATTGTAAAAAAAATAATTTTATATCAGGATCTAATTATTTTTAATATTTGTTATTAATGATTTAATTTTTTCTCAATATTTAATATCATTGGTTCAATTTTTTCTAATATTTATTATTAGCGATGTACTCTTATAATTTATTTTTGTAATATTTATATAATTGTCCAATTTTTTGCCAAATATTTTTTCTAACATTTGTTATTAAGGGTCCAATTTTTTTTTAATACTTACTATTAAGGGTATAATATTTTTTCAATATTTTTTATAAAGGTATACTTTTAAAATTTAATTTTTTCTAACATTTATTTGTTATTATTAGAATGATTTTTGGGGTCAAGAGGGGATCAATCCAACTTAATTTTAAAAGATCAGGTTTCTAAAAACCAAATAAATTTGGAGTCGCCATTGATCTTTGGGTTAGGTATATCGAATATCTAAAATATTTTTAAATTGTTTAAGAAAAAATATAGTTTAAAAGGAAAAAAAATAGCCTACGTTTAACCAGAAACTCATTTTGAAAAGGGTTCGAGAGTTGATTATACGTTGCAAAGGTGAGCAACCCCACAACGCCTTAAATCTATACGTATATGATTATACTTCATCTAAATATCGAAACTTGCAAAAACATACATTTAAATTAAGATCATTTTTAGAAAAAAAATTAGAAGGGAATTCTTTTCTACAAACAATCCTCAAAGAACACTTTTTATTAGTCAAGATGTGTTTCCACGAATTCGTCATATAAAAGAACATTGTCTTGATTTTATTAGTAAATTACATATATTTAATATGTTTAAAGATGTAACCCCTTTATCCGGCCTAGAAGAAACCAGCCAGATCTAGGAGACCCTTTAGCTAAATTTCTCCAAAACTTTTCCAAAACATTATTTTAAATACTTTAAAATTTACCATCGCATTTACTAATTTTGAATAGTTAAAGTAACTGAAATAAATTAATAATAATTAAACATAAATCAAACATTTAAAAAATTCAAGTTCAAGTTCCGAAGTCCAAAACAAAATTTATATCCAATATCCCAAAAATATTTAAACAGAATAAATATTATCTAAATAAAGTATAAATGAAATAATAATAAGAAAGTCCGAATAAATGTCATACTATAAAAATAATGAAAATGTAATACTTTTGAACTCCAAATACTTGTTCACCTAACTCGGGAATCTGAAAGAAAAAACCAAGGCAGAGCAAGCTACAAGGCTTAGTGTGTCTTTAAAGTGTAAACAAACGCAAGACACATCATAATTCGAAGCATACAATAATACTTATACGTCAAATCATCAATGATAATCACAATGTAAATGATATGCAAATACTTATGCACCCGCCCCTACTCCTGTCACAACCCGAAGAGTAGGTTCCTCATAACCACACTAATTCCAGCCCAGTGGGGTCTTCCACAAAGACAGAGGCCACTAAATCTAAAAAAGTGACATTCACTCCATCGAGTGAATGTACTAAACTTTCCCCATCAAAATTCGTTCGAATATGATATGAAAATGACACACACGTCCGAATAACACATACTTGAATATCATATATCCGAATTTCGATCTGATCTGAATGAGAAAGCAATTATATGATCTCTGAGTCTAAACAGATAACATAATCCAAATATCACATGTCACATAATATAATTTTCTGAATTCCAACTAATACAATAATATCACAAAACCATCATGCTCGAAACCAACTTTCAAACATGTTTAATTGAATTATATTTAAAGAAACAATACACATGACAAACATACTCAGAACCAATTTTAAACAATTAATCAATTAACAAGAAATAGATATAACATCATATAGAGACACACTTCAACAGTTAGCTAACGTCGGTCATATCGAGCAGTGGTTCGACCCAAATCATTTCGTTCAACACGAGAAATATGATTCGGTTCGAAGTTTGTGGGTAAGACGGAGGAGACGATAACTCGGTTCCCAGTTTAGAATTCCTGCAAAAATAACGATACTTGAGTCCAAATCCCAATACTAGATTCCAAAAATTAGGAAATAATTTTACGACGGCCGTACAATTGTTTTTTGGGTTCAAATAAGAGAATCGACAACGGGTTTAGTTCAAATATAGTGAACTGTCAGTATAACAAAAGGGGACTGTCGGTGATGAAACTTCACCGGCATCAGTCCCAAGGGCTGACGACCACACAGTTGACCTTGCCATGGCTTTAATTGGCCGGTAACGACATCAACAAGGGTTGGCAGCAATGGAAGCACCTAAACAGAATTGATAGGGAGCTTTTCACTGTCGAAAGACGCCACACGTCCTTACGATGCCACAAACGGCCGAGCGCGACGATGGTAGGGGGGCATTGTGAGTCAAATATCGAGGGTTTCACGATAACTCGCTCCAACAAAGACAACTGCGAATGGGATTGCGACGAGGTTAAGAGGGATGGTCATTAAACTCATCTTGATGGTTAACGACGGCGAGGCGAAGTGTAAAGGAGGGTGGCACAGCTAGGGTTTGGAGGAAGAAGATGAAATAGGAAGGGGGCACCGCAGGTGATAAAGTTGCACAGGAGGAGAGTTTAGTTTAAATTAAGATTGGATTAATATCATCATAAGTCATTGAATTACTTAGGGTTTTCACAATTGACTCAAATTTTTTCCTTTTTGCAAATAATTCACTATAATTTCTAAAAATTCCAATTTAATCCCTAGATCCAATTTAGGGATTTAAACAATTTTCCCCAACTTGAGGATTTTTAATTTGGAAAAAATTCAGGGTGTTACAAGAAAATTTTCTCAGATAAAAATGGATATCATTTTGTATGAACAATCCTTGGAAACACACTTCTTGTTAGTCAAAATGTGTTTCCATAGATTCCTCATACAAAATAGAATTGTCTTAATTTTTAGATAAAATACATATATTTAATATATTTGAAAACTTACTCGAATATAAAAAATTACCATGTAAGAACAATCATCAGAAGCACACCACTTATCAGTTAATTCCATAGATTACGTTTACAAGATAGTATTGCCTTAATGAATAAATTAAAATAACATTTATAACTAATTTATGGAAATTAATGATATAAATAAAAAAACAAAAAAACATGTGCAGGTGCGTTGTTATTCATTGCTTATTAAACACACACATATATATATATAAACCTATATATTAAATGCACTTACAAAATGTAGGAAAAGGAGACATATTGTATATAAATATACATAATGCTTATTCGAACACTATATTCTAAACAAAACCAAGTCCTATATACATGAAAAATATCACGTATTTATGTGTTGAATAAATAAAGGGACCTAAATGTAAAAAACAAATAAACATGAGAGACTCTAAAATGCAAAACTACAGAAGCTAAAAAACAGTAAAGACATGACTAAATTAGAAATATAGTAAATCTGAGGGAAACAGTGTAAACATAAAAAATGCAAGATTTGAAGCGTAAATATCATGAAATATAAGTACTAGAAATGTGATAAAACATTAAACATGTAGGACTAAAATAAAATAATTGAGAAATTAAAAACATGAAATAAGAGTAGCTAAAACTTCATTTGATTGCCAATATTAAAATGTTACAAAATTGGAAACTTTCTCAAGCAAATATCCTACATTCCTAAGCATTGGACTTTTCTAGTGGTAGATCCACAAACGACAGTGTTCTAAAGCCTTACCGACGGCTTTCTTAGGTTTAGTTAAAAAAACCTAATCCCGTTTTATGAGACCTTTACCATTTTTTTGTGTCGTTCTCTCCATCTTATGTCCCTCTCTCTTTTCTTTTCCTTAGAAGGAAACCCTCAAAAATAAGAAGACGGTCATGGTCAATCACTTCCTAATGGCTCCGATGAAGAACCAAACAACAACAAAAACAACAACAAAACCCTATTCCCATATACAATGGGGTAAGGGGGAGGTAGGGTAGTAGGCTGCCCCAACGCCAGGTTGAGAGCAGCTTCCTTGGAAGACCTCCGGCAGTCAGCAAATTAAAAATAAAGATAAAATACAATGCATGTATAAATAAATAAATACATAGTTGAACAGTCTTCATATGCAATCTTCATATGCGCGTCTGTAATGGGAAGTAATCCCTGCAAATAAATCCCTGCGTAAAAATCTCTGCATATAGACATAAACGTAAGACCGGCTAAATTTAAAAAGAGGAAAAATGAAGATAATGATACACAGAAGTCAACGATAGCAAGCTACGAGAAGGAATAAAGTCAAATGGGTTAAAACCTAAACTAAGGCAACACTACACCGCTACCTAGTTCTAAGCCTTCATAAATTCCAATGACAGAAACGTATAAAAAGTAGAAGTCATGGAAATTACTACAAAGGC